CGCCACCACCTCGAACGGCGACCGCGCGAGCAGGTCGCGCCATTGGGCGCGGGAGTACGTGCGGAGGGTGTAGGACGAGTCCGCGTGGGTTTCCGTGCTCGGGGTGCGCACGGCCAGGTGGTTGATGACGGTCTCCGTGCGCGCCCGCTCGTTCGGGGCGAGGAAGGTGACCATCTGGGTGATGCGGAGGCTTCCCCGGGCGCCGGTCCAGACGTCTTCGGTGTCGGTGTCGTTGGCGTAGTCGCAGGTGGACAGGCCCAGGGCGTAGACGCCGCCCTTGGTGAGCGAGCCCGCCACGCGCTCCAGGTGGGCGAGGGCGTCGTCGTCCGTCATGAGGTGGCGGAAGGTGTTGATGGTGTTGAAGGCGAAGTCAACCTTTTTCGGCGGGGTGTAGGTCGTGAGGTCGCCGACGTCGAGCACTCCCGCGAGCCCCTGGGACTCGAACCGCTCGCGGGCGTAGGCGATCATCTTCGGGGAGAGGTCGTAGCCGCAGACGTCAATCCCCCGCTTCGCGGCCTCCCTCAGATACCGGGCGGTGCCGCAGGCGGGCTCGAGCCAGCGGGCGGGGCGGTTCTCGATGCGGGAGCGGACGAAGCGGCTCGCGATGGCTTCGAGGCCGTCCACCTCCCACGCGGTGTGGCGGGTGTGCAGGACGTCGTACCACGACGGGTTGTCGTAGAGCCCGGTGTCGGTGTGCTGGATATCTTTGGTGTGTGTCATGCGTCCGGCGTGGCGGTCGAGGGTATCACCCGCGGCGCGATGGGGCGCTCGGAATCGAGGTTTTCATGCGGAACGTTGCGGTCGGTGTCGGTGTTGCGGGTCTGTGCGCCGTTTCGAGTGTTTCGGCCCAGGTGTCGTTCCGCGTGACGGTGGCGGAGACGCTCACCTTCCCGGCGGAGCTGGACGATTCCGGGCGGCTCGTCGTTTCGCTCATCAGTGCGGAGTCCGAGCGGCTCTTCGCGCGGGCCGAGCCGGCGGACGCGCCGTTCTTCTCCGACCCCCAGCCCATGTTCTCGATGGCGCTGCGGGACATCACGACGATCGAGGGGAAGGTGCTGGGCGAGTTCGAGGCCTCGTTCCCGGTCGCGCTGAAGGACCTGCCCGCGGGGACGTACAAGGCGCAGGCGGTCTTCGACCGCTCGCGCCGGAACTCGTCGTGGCGGAAGGAGGCGTTCAACGGGTTTTCGGAGGTCGTCGAGTTCACCTACGACGGGACCGGCCCGCTCGTCGTGCCGATCGAGATCTCTCAGGTGAAGGAACTCGAGAACACGCCGATGATGGAGGGCGTGGAGTGGGCGGGGTACGAGGTGGAGTACGAAGGGGCGAACGGCGCGTACAAAGGGTGGATGCGCGCGAAGGTGATCGTGCCCGAGGGGCGCGTCGAGGGCAGGCACTACCCGACGGTGTACATCATCCCCGGCTTCGGCGGCGACCACGAGTCCGCGAACTTCTACAAGCGAGCGCTCGACTCGGGGCGGAGAGGCGAGGCGTGGGACGCGCTGCACGAGAGCGCGTTCATCGTCGTCCTCGACCCCGAGAGCGGCAACGGGCACCACCTCTTCGCCAACTCGGCCAACAACGGCGCGGTCATGGACGCCTTCGTGCACGAGTTCATCCCGATCCTGGAATCGCGCTTCGGCATGATCCCGGAGGCGGGGGCGCGGATCGTCACGGGGCACTCCTCCGGCGGGTGGGCGTCTCTCTGGCTCGGCCTCGAGCGGCCCGACGTCTTCGGCGCGGTCTTCGCGAGCGGGCCGGACCCGGTGGATTTCCGCTTCTTCCAGCAGGTGAACATCTACGAGGACGAGTCGATGTACACCGACGGCCTCGGTCGCGAGCGCGCGAGCTCGACCCGCGGCGGCGAGGTGACGATGACCATCCGCGAGGAGAACCTCATGGAAGAGGTCCTGGGACCAGACAACACGAGCGGGCAGCAGTGGGACTCGTGGCTGGCCGTGTTCGGCCCCCCCCGGAAGGGCGGAGACACCCCCGCGGATTTGTACGACCCATTCACCGGCAAGCTGGACCACACGGTCGCGGAGGCGTTCAAGAAGTACGACATCGTCGAGAAGCTGCGCACGAACCCGGAGACCTACGGCCCGCTCTTCGCGGAGCGCGTCCGGCTCATCGTGGGCGAGGAGGACACGTACGACCTCGATCTGGCGGTCGCGTCGTTGCTCGATAACCTCAAGAAGCTCGGGTACGACGTGAACGCGGACGACAAACCCGGGTACATCACGATCGTCCCCGGCGCCGACCACGGCGGCGTGACGCGCACGAAAGAGGGGCGGGCGTTCGCGGGGGAGATGGTCGAGTTCCTGCGCACGGGTGGGTTCATCAAGGAGTGAGCGTGATGGTTCCGGAAGCGAAATCGATCTGGTCGGGCCTGGAGATCCGCGTGCCGATGATGGTGCGGAACGTGGAGCCGCTCACGCGCGAGCAGATGCTGTGGGTTCCGGCGGAGGGGCGGAAGTGCGTCGCGTGGCAGCTCTGGCACATCGCGGAGGTGGAGGACGTGTGGATCGCGGAGGTGGTGCTGGGGGAGGAGGGGCGGTTCCCATTCGGGCATCGGCTCGCGGAGGTGGAGGGGGATCTGAGCACGTACCCGACGAAGGACGAGCTGCTCGCCTACTTCCGCGAGGTGCGCGCGATCACGAGATCGCGCCTCGAGCGCGCCACTGCTCAGGACTTCGAGCGCGAGGTCACGGACGCGGACTTCGGCACGCGCCCCGCGCGGGACATCTGGCAGGGCGTGGTGACGAGCTTCGCGTGGCACGCGGGGCAGCTCGCGATGACGGCGAAGATGTGCCCGGGGTCGAGCGTGACGGTGCAGCGGATGCGGTATCTGAATAATCCGGAAGCATGAATCCCGAGGCACTCCAAGTCGCGCAACGTACTCTGGACGAGCTTTACCGACGTCATTGCGCCGAATTACGACGTCGCAGCTTCCAAAATGCAGAACAGAGCCAGGCACTGCAGTCGTATCTGGAGCGGTACGGAATTTCAGAAGAGTTCGTGCTTGACGACAGCGAGCGACCGAAGTGCATGTCCGTCCAGTGGCAACTGCTCGACTGGAAAATGGATATCCATCGTGAGGCCGTCGTTACGCATATAGACGGGGTCTCCGTACGGTTTCCGTGGTCCGCGTACGTGGAAAGCAACGCGAAATCCGAGCGCATGATCGACCTGGTTGGGCGCGCAAACTACGACTCGCCGCACGAGCTCATGGAATTCCCATTCACGCGCGACGAGCCGTGGTCACAGCTTGTGATGCCGGGAGCGTTTGCGCTCAGGTTTCTGAGTGCTTTCAACGTACGTAAACGGGCTGAGTGATCTGGCAACTGATACCGAATCGGGAAGCAATACACCCTGAATCGCTCGCAGAAGCCCCAACGCTTGTAGAAAACACGACCGGCTCGATCAAAAAACTTTCCTATCCGCGCGAAAACGTCGCCTCGGCGTCGTCTGTCCGCTGGATCGGACGCGCGGCGTTCGGCAGGGAACTATTTTGTAGGAGTGCGGGCCATGTCACGGGCGCATCCGTTCCGAGCTGTTGTTTTGCTTTGTGCTGCGATGTTGGTTGCTGCGATGGCGACCGCGTCCCCCGGAACCCCCGGAGCCCCTGGAGAGCGAGGCGCGAAGGAGCGGGTGGAGGACGCGTTCCAGGCGATCGCGGGGGCGTCGAACATCCAGTACCAGGTGATGATGCACGGCGAGGGGGAGATCGCGGGGCAGGTGGAGTGGTTCTCTGGGCTCGCTTCGATCGAGCGGACCGCCGGCGGGCCGCTCCGGTACCGGGTGGACGGGCACTGGATGAGCGGCGGGATGCCGCAGTGGGGCGTCCGGCGCGGGACGCTCGCGGATGACGGCGCCAAGCTCCGGTTCATGTTCCGGACGAGCGCCTTCGCGGACGACGCGGAGCTCCTCTTCCACGAGACGCCGACCGACTCCGAGGTGGCGGGGACGATGCGGTCGCACTGGCTCTGGCTCGCGATCCCGAATGCGGTCCGCTTCCCGGAGCGGATGCTCGAGGCGCTCGGGGGGGAGACGGACGTCGTGTACGAGGGCACGGCCGACATCCTGGATATGACGTGCGAGCTGTTCCAGCTGCGGCCCAGGGATTCGGAGTTCTGGGACCGCGTCGCGCTGCTCGAGGGGACGGACACGCTCGTGCGGATCGAGGCGATGGTGCCCCCGCCTGTCGTGCGCACCGGCGGTGCGCTCGTGACGACCTTCTGGACGCCCGGCCCGTCGTCGACTTCGCTCGGCTTGCACCCCGATCAGGGCGAGCCGTTCGGCTGGTGGACGAACGACCCGCACCACGACGGCTGGTTCACGCTCGTGCCGCCGGAGGGGGTGGAGGTTGTGGAGCCGCGGACCTCCGAGGACGCGGCGGCGGAGGCCGAGGCGGAATCGGGCGTGGTCGTCGGGGCTGTGGCGCCGGAGTGGACGCTCACGGACACGGACGGGCGCGAGGTGGCGCTGTCTTCATTGCGCGGGAAGGTCGTTGTTGTGGATTTCTGGGCGACGTGGTGCGCGCCGTGCCGCAAGGCGATCCCGGCGCTCACGGCGCTGCAGACAAAGCACGGCGAGCGCGTCGCGGTGCTCTCGGTGACGGTCGATGATGTCGAAGCGAAAGACGTGGCCGCGCTGTTCTCGCGTCACGGCGGCGCGCACACGCTCCTGCACGGCGGGAGTGAGGTTTCGCAGGCGTGGGGCGTGACGGCGCTGCCGACGTGCGTGGTGATCGACGAGCGGGGCGTTGTGCTCGCGAGGCACGTGGGGTGGGGGGAGGGTGCGGGGGAGGAGATTGAGGGGGTGATCACGAGGGCGTTAGAAGTGTCTGAATAAACAAGAGATTGCAGATCAACACCTTGTGCCGTGGCACGGGCTTTCAGCCCGTGGACAGAAGATGTAGAAATCTCAATGGCTGCGTAATCAGCGCGTAAAAACACGGGCTGGAAGCCCGTGCCACGGATGTGTTTGCATGTGTGCGCTGTTTACGCCACCGTCACCGAATCATCCAGGTACACATCCTGAATCGCGTGCAGCAGCTCCACGCCCTCGTTCATCGGGCGCTGGAAGGCCTTGCGGCCCGAGATCAGGCCCATGCCGCCGGCTCGCTTGTTGATCACGGCGGTGCGCACGGCCTCCGCCTTGTCGCCCGCGCCGCTGGACGCGCCGCCGGAGTTGATGAGCGGCGAGCGGCCCATGTAGCACGTCGCGAGCTGGTAGCGGCAGAGCTCGATGGGGTGGTCGCCCGGGGTCAGGTCGGAGTAGACCTTCGGGTGCGTCTTGCCGAACTTGATCGCGTTGTAGAGGCCGTTGTTCTCGGCGAGTTTCTGCTTGATGATGTCCGCCTGGATGGTGACGCCCAGGTGGTTGGCCTGGCCCGTGCCGTCGGCGGAGACGTGGTAGTCCGTCTTGCCCTGCTTGAACTCCGAGTTGCGGAGGTAGCACCAGAGCACGGTGACCATGCCCAGCGCGTGCGCTTCTTCGAACATCTCGGAGACCTCGTCGATCTGGCGGCGCGACTGCTCGGAGCCGAAGTAGATCGTCGCGCCCACGGCCATCGCGCCCATCTCGAACGCCTGGCGGACCGAGCCGTAGCGCGTCTGGTCGTACTGGTTGGGGTAGCTCAGGATCTCGTTGTGGTTGAGCTTGACGAGGAAGGGGATCTTGTGGGCGTACTTCCGCGAGACGCTGCCGAGAACGCCCAGTGTGGACGCGACCATGTTGCACCCGCCGTCGATGGCGAGCTTGACGATGTTCTCGGGGTCGAAGTACGCGGGGTTCGGCGCGAACGACGCGCCGGCCGAGTGCTCGATGCCCTGGTCGACGGGCAGGATGCTCACGTACCCGGTCCCCGCCAATCGCCCGCAGTTCATGATGGACTCGAAGTTCCGCAGGACGTTCACGGGCCGGTCGGTATCGCGGAGGACGCGGTCGACGAAGTCCGGACCGGGGAGGTGGAGCGAGTCCTTGCCGAAGCCCTTACAGGTGTAGGAGAGGAGGTCGTCGGCATCGGAGCCGAGGAGGGAGGCGATATCGGAGGAAGCGGCGGCGGTGGTCATCGGAAAGGGGCTCCGGTGGGGTGTGAGCGGTGATTTGGGGTGGGTTGTACAGGATAGCAGGGGCGTCAAGGGGGGAGGGAGGCATCAGCCACCAGCCATCAGGCATCAGGGTTGTTTTTGCGGGGGGAAGGGGGAGGATGAGGGGATGGATTTGGAATCGGTCACCCAGATCGCCCGATGGCTCTTCCTCGCGCTCGGCGTCGGCGTGATCGTGTGGGCGCTGATCCTTCGTGATCGTTCGAAGGGGCGCCGTCGCTGCCCGAAGTGCTGGTACGACATGTCGGCGACGGAGGGGATGCGGTGCCCGGAGTGCGGGCGGGAGCAGACGAGCGAGAAGAGATTCGGCAGGCATCGGTGGTCGTGGCGGGGAGCGCTGGTCGGGGTGCTGCTGCTCGTGCTCTCGTACGCGGCGCACGTGGCGCCGGACGTGAAGGCGAATGGTTGGATGTGGGCCGTGCCCCGGTGGTCGATTGTCCTAGTGATGCCGTTGCTTGAGACGCCGCGCGAGGACGTTCGGAAGCAATTCCTCATCAACAAGGGCTGGATGCGTGCCCGCGTCGGAACACCGAGTGATGTCCCGGACGCCACATTGCGTGAATACCTGCTCCTTCATCTCCTTTACGACAGGAGATATCCAGAGTATTCCGGCTGGGAATACGCGCTGATTCGGGACGATCTCTTACGACGATACGATCGAGGTGAACCGGTTACCGATTTGATTTCGACCATCGTCGCCAGCGCGGAATCGCGCGTGTACCGTGATGATGAAATACTCCGACACCTCATTCGGCGAGGAATCGAATATGCAACTCGCGGCGACACCTTGCGCGTGCGGTTCGACCCCCCCGGAATCGTGATCCCCTACGACATCGAATTAAACGGGATCACGGTTCACACCCTCGATATCAGGATCAGGAGAGGAGACGATGGCGTAATCGATGGCGGGAGCATGGGACCTTCGTTACTCCACTACCATTCTGAAGTCCCGGTCGAGCTCGTAGGGCAAAACCGCGGCCTTGTCCGGGTGGTTATGGTCAAACCGCCGGAGGTGGACACGCTCCAGATCTTGGATATCCCGGAGCGCATCGAGTTCGAACTCCACCTGACCGAGCTGTTCATCGAGAAGGGCTACCACCGGGGTCCGAGATGATGGACCTCGACACCGTCACCCAGATCGCCCGCTGGCTTTTCCTCGCCCTCGGCGTCGGCGTGATCGTGTGGGCGCTGATTCTTCGTGATCGTTCGAAGGGGCGCCGCCGCTGCCCGAAGTGCTGGTACGACATGACGGCGACGGAGGGGATGACGTGCCCGGAGTGCGGGCGGACACAGAAGCGCGAGCGGCGGTTCTTCGGGCGGCGGCGGTCGTGGCGGGGCGTGCTCGCCGGTGCGGCGCTGCTGCTCCTGGCGTACGCGTCGGACGTCGCGTCGGAGGTGAGGCAGGGCGGGTGGATGTTCGCGATCCCGCGGTCGGCGCTCGTTCTGGTGTCGCCCGCCATCGAGACGCCCACGCTCTTCGAGAAGGAGCAGTTCCTCGCGCAGCGGGGTTCGGGGATCATGCAGTACACGCCCGGCCTCGATCAGCCCGATGCGATGCAGCGGCTCTGGTTGCACCTGGTGTGCGAGCGCCTCACGTCGGCCGACCCGGTCCCGTGGTGGCAGTACCAGATCCTGCGCCGGGACATCCCGCGCCGGCTCCGGCCGCCGTCGAAGCACTGGTGGCTGTCGCAGCGTTTCCTCGCCGGGGGGTGTGCCGAGCGGGTGTTCCGGGACGAGGAACTGCTGGCGGAGATGTTCCGGTGGTCGCTGAAAAAGACGCGATGGACCGCGTCCGAGTGCCGGTACGTCTTCTCGCCGCGGAACGTCGCGTTCATGCCGTACAGCGTGTGGATGAACGGCGTGAAGGTCGTCGATCTGTTCCCGGATCAGAGCGGCCTGGCCGCGAATGAGGACCTGTCGTTCGAGGTGCCGCTCGAGGGCGAAGGTCGGGGGCGTGTTCGGGTGGTCATGCGGTTGTCGCTCCGGATGAACGACTCGACGTCGTACGATCTCCCCGAGACGATCGAATTCGAGTTCCAGGCGGAGGAGTAGGCGTGACGCTCGAATCGGTCACGGACGTTCTTCGTTGGATCCTCCTCGCGTTGGGGATCGGGGTGCTCGTCTGGGCGCTGCTCGTGCGCGGGCGGGCGAAGGGGAAGCGGCGGTGCCCGAAGTGCTGGTACGACATGAGCGCGACGGCGGGGATGAAGTGCCCGGAGTGCGGGCGGGCGCAGAAGCGCGAGCGGCGGTTCCACAAGCGGCGGCGGTCGTGGCGGCTCGCGGCAATCGGGTGTTGCGTGCTCGCCCTCGCCTACGCGGCGGACGTGCTGCCCGAGGTGAAATCGCGCGGGTGGATGTTCGCCGTGCCGCGGTGGGCGCTGGTGATGGTGACGCCCTTCGTTGATTTGCCCGCGAAGGCCGACGCGCAGACGTGGCTCGCGACGCGTCAGAATGTAGCGCGGGCGTGGCAGGCGCCCGCGAACCCGGGTGGCGCGGCGATCGAGCCTTCACTCGACATTTTTGAGGAGCTGTACCTCCATCTGTACGTCGAGCGGCTCACGGAGGAGAGCGAGCTCTGGTGGTGGGAGACGCGGCTCGTCGCGCACGACATGATCTCGCTCGTCGACGAGCCGTCGCCGGACGACCCGGAGTGGAACAGCCGCTTCGCGCGGATCATCGTCTCGAAGTGCCGCGACGACATCTTCGATTCGCGCGGGCTCGTGCGGTCGCTGGCGGAGAAGTCGATGTTCGGCGAGCCGGCGCTGGAACGGGATGGGCGCGTGCTGCGGTGGGTTTTCCACCCCCACGCCGCGATGCCCCGGCTCACGGCGTTCCGCTCGCGGGATTACGAGGCGGAGACGGGCGAGAGCGGCGAGGTGTGGTTCACGCACGGCGAGGGGGCCGGGCGGTGGCTGAAGCGGACGGTGTACGTCCCGCTCGAGGGCCCGCGCCGCGGGCGGGTGACGGTCGAGCTGACGACCCACGGGGAGCGCCGGGCCGACGGGACGGTCGCGCCGGGCGAGCCGGTGCGGGTGTCGTTCAGGATCGACGATCGCGTGCTCGGCGAGTACGAGCGAGGACGCTGACGGGCCGATGGGCCGGCCCGTGCTTGCCCGATGTTAATATGGGTGATTTTTCTGAATTGTGGGTGAGTGTTGCTTTGACGCCGGGTGCGCCCGCGGTCTCTTGTGACCGGGGTGGACCATTTCTAGTCTGGTGTGGCACACACACCACCCCAGAGGAGAGATAGCCATGCACCGATTTGTCACGATCGCTACCTGTCTGTTCGCGTCCGTCGCGCTCGCCGGCGAGCTCGACCCGCCGCCGGGCCCCGTCGTCCCGACGATGAAGACGCTCGACGAGGTCGAGCCGCGGACGGCGTTGAACACGGACAACACACCGGGGGACGCGAGCAACGTCTTCATCATCGACGAGCCCGGCTCGTACTACCTCACCGGGAACCTCAGCGTGGGCTCGGGCGTGTCGGGCATCCGCGTCGAGGCGGACGGCGTGACGATCGATCTCGCCGGGTTCCTGATCGACGGGACCGTGGGCAGCGTCTCCGGGATTGTTCTGGACGCCAACGACGTGATCGTCCGGGACGGGCGGATCAGCGGATTCGGCGACGACGGCATCGGGACCAACTCGAGCCGTCAGCGCAACCTGGTGGAGGATGTCGTCGTGCTCTTCTGCGGCGGCGACGGGATCAACCTGAACGGATCGTTCTCGACGGTCACCCGCTGCAGGATCACGAATGTGGGCGGCAGCGGGATTTTCATGGGCACGAGCGCGAGCGTGACCGGGTGCTCCGTCGTGGGCCCGGGCGAGAACGGGATCCGCGTGGACGACGGCAGCATCGTGTCGGACAACCGGGTGACCACCGCCGGATTCTCCGGGATCGACGCCGACAACTCGTGCCTCATCACGGGCAACAACGTGCGTTCCAGCGGCAGCGGGATCAACTGCGAGGCGCTGTGCAGCATCTCGGGCAACCACGTCCGCTTCGCGACCAACGACGGCATCCGTGTCTCGGCCAACTCGTTCGTCCGCGACAACTCCGCCGTGCAGTGCGGCACGGGTTTTCGCGCGTCATCCGGCAACAACCTGATCGACTCGAACTTCGCGTTCGGGAACGACATCGGGTTCAACGCGACGAACAGCACGAACACGATCATCCGCAACACCTCGCGGAACAGCACGAACGCGGACTACAACATCAACGGCCAGACCGGCCCGATCGTCACGGGCGGCGGCGTGATCGCCTCCGAGCATCCGTGGGCGAACTTCGGGTCCTGAACGACCCGGCACAATCCACGCTCGGCACGACCCTTCCGCTCGCGGAGGGGTTTTTTCGTGCTCAGCGGCCGGGTGAGCGCGGCGGGTCGTCGGCTCGCTCGCCATGCTCGGCCGCGGCCTCGCGACCCTCCTCGATGTTCTCGCGGGTGTCTTCGTGGTCGCCTGGTTCGGGCGCGGGCTCGTCGGCGTTACCACCGGTGCTCAGAGAGAGCTCGACGAAGACGGCGAAATGGTCCGACCCCGGCGTGCGGACGCGCTCGAATGTCCGGACGGAGAACGTCCCGGAGACGAAGACGTGGTCGAGCGGGTAGCGCAGGAGCGGGTACTCGGCGTGGTAGGTGTTCATGAGCGAACGCCCGATGCGCGGGTCGAGCAATCCGCTGACGCGCTGGAAGAGCCGGGTCGTGGCTGACCACGCGACGTCGTTGAAGTCGCCCGCGACGACCCAGGGCTCGTCGCGCCGGTCGTGGATCCGCTCGGCGACGACGCCGAGCTCGGCGTCCCGGATATTGCTGCTGTACCGCTCGTCCTTGTGACGCACGGGCAACGCCGGGGGCGTCGGATGGAGGGCCACAAGGTTGAAGGCGCGGCCCTCCCCGGTCCGCACGGCGGTGTGGACGGAGGCGCGGCGCTCGGAGACGAGGTGCTCGGTGCGGGTGTTCTCGAGCGGGAGTTTCGACCAGAGCACGATGCCGAGGCCCTCGTCCCGGGTGACACCCCCGCGGTGCGCGTACCGTTCGGCGACGTCCGCGAGCGCGCTGCGCCAGGCGTCGTCGCACTCGATGAGCAGGAGGATGTCCGGATCGTTCGCGGTGATCATGTCCGCGGTCGCGCGGCGCTCGTTGTTGCGGACGTCGAGGTTGCACACGAGGAGCGTGACGCCGGCGCGATCGGTGCGGGGGACCTCCTTCTGCCAGAACTCGGTGTACGGCAGGACGCGGACGCCCTGGTACGACGCGACGGCGAGCAGCACCGCGAGGTGCCACGCGTGCTCCGCCGTGCCCATCGGGGAGAGGAGCAGCGCCGTTGTGAAGACCGCGAGCCCGCACGCGAGCACGAGGACCTGAACACGCGGGAAGTCGCAGATCCGGAACACCCAGTGCCCGTGCGGCACCAGGGCGAGGAGCGTGAGCGCCGCGAGCGACGCGGCCCCGATCCGACCGACCCAGAGCGCGGCGGCGGTGGCGGTTTCGCCGGTCATGTCGCGACTTCCCGCTCAAAGATCCGGACGTTCCGCAGGTTCGCCTTGTAGGCGACGTCGAAGACGAGGTCGAGGATCGGGATGAGACCGATCAGCCAGTCGAGCAAGAGGTTGACGAGCATGCGCGCGAGGGCGCCGTTGCGGACGCCGGCGCGCCGGGCCTCGAGGAAGATCCAGGCGCCGACGAGCGTGGTGGCGGTGTCGCCGATGCCCGGGATCAGGCCGACGAGCGCGTCGTAGCCGAAGCGGATGCGCGTGCCGGGGATGGTGAACTTCGCGTCCAGCGCGTGCGCCACCGCCCGCGCACGCCGGAGGCCGGCCGGCAAGTCGTGGCCGGTGCGGTCTCGGTTGCGCGGGCGGTCGGCGTGGTCCGTGCCCGTGGGCGTGACGCTCGTGCCCATGGGGTGTCAGTTCACCTGTGCTACGAAGTTGATGTGGTGCTCGGCGAGCTCGGTGAGCTTGCGGTCCGCCGCGCCCTCTTCCTCGATCGTCTTCGTGAGGGTGTCGACGTCCGTGTCGCGTCCGAGCTTCTTGGCGAGCGCCCGGGCGACGCCGTAGCCCGCCATCTCGTAGTGCTCGACGCGCTGGCAGGCGGAGATAATCGCCGCGTCGCGGACGTGATCGTCCGTGACCTCCTGAAGGAGCTCGGAGGCCTCCTTGAGCAGGCCCTCGATGCCCTTGCACTTGTGCCCGCCCGGCTCGAAGTCGAGCGTCTCGAAGAGGGAGGTGACGCGGTCGCGGTGGGCCTTGGTCTGCTCGACGTGCCCGTTCAACGCGGCGACGAGGTCGGCGTCGGACGCCGCGCGGACCATCTTGGGCAACGCGTCGAGGATCTGGTTCTCGGCGGAGTAGAGGTCCTTGAGCTCGTGGATGTAGAGTTTTTCGAGTGTGTCGATGTTCATGGGATGCGTCTCCTGTGTTCGGGTTCGACTTCCGTTGCACAAGAGAAGCTACACACCCGAGATGACGTCACCCTGAACGGTCGATGAGACTTGGTTCACGCGCACGAGCGGAGCGCTTCACCCTGATCGGGCGTCCGGCGCGGGCGCCGACGGAGAGAGCGGTTTTTCAGGCCGTTGTGCGCTCAGCGCCCGGCCACGCGGAGCACGCGCGTCCGCCGCTTGAGCGTGCGGAGCGTCAGGTAGATCGCGGCGGCGATGCCGAACGCGACGAGCCAGACGGGGTCGACGGTGAGTTCGTTGAGCACGACGTAATCGCCGATGATCTCGAGGCAGAACATGATGAGCACGACGGCGAAGAAGCCGGAGTACTCGCGCTTCAGGACGTTGCGCACGGAGAACGGCAGCTCGGGCTTCGCGTACGTTCGGATCGAGGCGGGCGTGGGGACGAACGCGGGCGTGCGACTCGCGTACTCGCGGTAGGCGTCGCCGAAGGTCCTCGCGAGGAAGTTCTCCTCGGCGATCATGATCCGCTCGTAGTAGAGCCAGTAGAGCGTGACGGTGATGAACGCGAGGCGCCAGTCGTGGAGGAACATCGCGACGCCCAGCCACATGAAGAAGTTGCCGACGTAAAGCGGGTGGCGGACGAGAGAGTAGAGCCCCGTCGTGTTGATCGTGTGCGCGACCTGGTGCTTCGTGTTGCGACCCGAGGTGCGCGACGGGGCGTGGCCCACGACGTGCGCCCGGATCGCGAGGCCGAACATGCTCACCGAGAAGCAGACAACTTCCCAGACGAGGTCGAGGGTGTGGTCGTCGCCGAAATACGAGAACTCGCGCATGCCGAGCAGGAGCAGCGCGAGGAACAGGACGGGGACGTAGCTGCGGTGCCGGAACAGCGCGTTCCCGGTGGTGTTGAGTTCTTCGGTGTACATGGTCGTCTCCCGGAGTGGCGAATAGACGACATTCTAGTCCGGAATGCGGCCCGGGTCACCGGGCGGCACCGATCGCCTTCTCGAGATTTTCCAGCATCCCGCCCCAGCCCTGCTCGGTGCCGCTGGCGATGGACTCGGACATCATCCCCTCGTGGGTGATCGTGACCTTCGTGCCGTTCGGCGCGTCCTCGAAGTCGACGGTGACGCGCTGGTCCCTGACCGGCTCGGACGTGTGGTTGACGTTCCAGGTGAAGACGATGCGGTCGTTGGGCGTGACCTCGAGGAACTCGCCCTCGATGATCCAGACGTAGCCGTCCGGCTCGTCGTGATCGCACGAATCGTGCGTCTGGGTGATCCTGTACGTGCCGCCCGTGCGCCCGTCGATCTCGACGGAGATGGGGCCCTCGTTCTTGTCGTTGAGCCACCAACGCTTGCGGAACTCGGGGTCGAGCCAGGCGAGGAAGAGCTCGGCGCGCGGCGCGTCGATGACGCGGGAGACGGAGAGCTTGATCTGCTTCTGGGTGACGGTCGTCATGGCGGGGCTCCTTGTCTGCGGTTACGCGGTGGCGGCGGATTCGATGTGCGCGGCGAGCTTCTCGATGGACGCGGCCGAGCCCTGCCCGATGATGCCCCGCATCGTCTCCGTCGAGATGCCGGTGGTGGTGACGATGAGCTTCGTGCGATCGCTCCCCTCCTCGATGAACTCGACGACGTTCCGGATGCGCATCGCCTTGCCCTCGGTCATCTCGCACGCGGGGATCTCGGATTCGTAGGTGAAGGTGTTCGGCGGGTCGTACGCGGTGATGGTCGCGGCGTAGGGGTGCTCGCCGCACCCGTCGATGGTCATGAGGTGGTTGTACGCCCCGCCGACCCTCGGCTCGATGGTGGAGACGACCTTCGTCGTCTGGGCGCACCCCCACCAGGACTGCACGCGCTCGGGGTTCATCCACGCGTCGAAGACGAACTCGCGCGGGGCGTCGAACGTGCGCGTGAGGCGCAGGCCGTCGGGCAGGATCTCGGTGTGGGTTTCGCTCATGATTCGGTTCCTTCGTCTTTGGGGTTCTGCGCGGCCCGGCGCTGGGAGGTGATGTACGCGTCGAGCGCGTCGAGCTGGCGCGTCCAGAAGGCGCGGTAGGTCTCGATCCACTGGTCGGCGGCTTTCAATGCTTCGGGGTTCAGGTGGCAGCGGCGCACGCGCCCCTCCTTGTGCTGCACGATGAGCCCCGCGCGCTCCAGCACGCGCAGGTGCTTGGAGATCGCGGGCGGCGTCATATCGAAGGGCCTGGCGAGCTCGCCCACGGGCAGGTCGTTCTCGACCGCGAGACGCTCGAGCATCGCCCGGCGCGTGGGGTCGCTCAGGGCGCCGAAGAGCTGGTCGAGCTGGGATGGCTCCTGATACTTCACCATATGGTGAAATAATACAGCGCCACACATCAGCCGCAAGGGCCTCCTGACTTTTTTTGATGCCTAATCCGGCTTCGCGTCGTGGGACACGCCGATCGCCTCGATCACGACCCGCCGGAGCTCGCGGGCGATGTCCTCGCCGCCGCTCATGAGCCTGGCGACGATGCGGCCTTGCGCATCGAGCACGAAATATGTGGGCAGCGCGGAAAGGGCGAGATCCGTCGCGACGGTGCTCCCGTCCTTCTCGGCCCAGAGGTTGGGCCACGCGTGGGCGTGCTCGCTCTGGACGCGCAGCCCGCGAGCGAGGTCGCGGTCGGTGCAGACGCCGAGGATCGCGAAGCGCTCGCCCCCGAGTTCTTCGAGCAGCGCCCGTTCGTGGGGGAACATGGCGATGCACGGCGCGCACCACGACGCCCACGCCGAGACGAGCGTGACGCGCCCGCGAAAATCCTGAATCGCGACGGGCTCGCCCGAGAGCGTCTCGCCGGAGACCGGCGGGAACATGGCTCCGACGCGGAGCGATCGGATCTCGTGCTCGAACCCCGCGTAGCGCGAGGCGAACGTCGAGGTCTCGCCGGGCGGCGCATCGTCCCCGTATCGCGCGAGGAATTTGGTCGCCGTCGCGATCGCCCGCTCGGCCTGCGCGTCGTTGAGCACGCCGTTGCTCGAATCTCGCGTGATCGCGAGCGCCGCCTCGACGGCGCACGCGCCGATGAGCGGCGCCAGGGGCTCCAGCGACCGATCGACGGACCACAGCTCGAGCTGGAACCGCAGCTCTTGCATGACCTCCGGCTTGCGCCCCGCGTCGATCCACACCCTCGGGCGGCGGTAGTTCTTGCGGAGGAACGCCCAGGTTTCCCCCGCGAGCGAGCCGTCCGCCGGCGCGTCCCGCAGGACACGGGTCGCGTGCGAGTGAAGCATGGAGCGGATCCGCTCGGCCCCGTCGGCGGCGCTGAGGCTCGCGATGTCGAAGCCGTCGCCGATGAGCTCGAACGCCTCGAGTGGCGAGGACGCCTCGGAGATCAGGGCTTCGATACGCCGTGAAAAGGCGTCCGATTGATCGGGCGGGAGCGTTTCGCCTCGGTCGTACGCGGCTTCCAGTGCCGCGGTGATCTCCGAGGGTGTCGGGTGCTCGTCGGCCGGGGCGGCGGCGCTCGCGCCGAACGCGAGGGCCAGGGCCAGAAACGGGGCAAGGCGTGGTGTCATCTCGGAGCTCGCATCGGCGTGGTACTGATCAACCGTCCCGGAATCGCAGGCATTCATCCGAGACGCGCCGGAGGTCCGTTTCCGTCAATTCGCAGTGCAAACTCAGCCGCAGCCTTGACGACCCCGGCGCCACCGTCGGCGGGCGGACCAGGGCGGTGAGGACGCCCTGCTCGGCCAGCGCGTCGCGAGCGCGGGCGGCGCGGTCGGTCTCGCCCAGGACGATCGGGACGATGTGCGTCGGGTGCTCGTCAAACGATGGCACGCCGAGCGGGGCGAGCATCTCGCGGATCGTGTGCGCGTCCGCGAGGAGTCGCTCGCGCCGCTCGGGCTCGTCGTCGAGGACGCGCAGCGCTTCGTCGATGCACGCCGCCTGGAGGGGGAGCGCGCCGGTCGAGTAGATGAACGCCCGCCCCTCGTTGAGGACGGTGTCGATGACGGCGTTCGGGCCGAGGACGATCCCGCCGAGCGAGCCGAGCGCCTTGGAGGCGGTCATCACGCGGACGTCGGCGCGATGTGCGTGGCGCTCGTCGAGGACGCCGGTCGCGTGGGCCTCGTCGACGATCAGCGCGCAGGGCGCACGGTCGGCGAGCTCGTCGCGGAGGTCCGCGAGCGCGTCGATCGGCGCGAGGTCGCCGTCCATGGAGAAGACGGACTCGGTGACGAGCAGGACGTTCGCGTCCGGGTGTTTCTCGAGGTGCTTGCACGCGACGGCGCGGGCCCGGCCGGCGTCGTTGTGCGCGAAGGTGCGCAGCGTCGCCCCCACGGGATGCCCCTTGTGGGTCGCGAGGCGGGCGCCGTCGATCAGGCTCGCGTGAGCGAGCTTGTCGAGGAGCAGGAGCGTGTTCTCGTCCGCGAGCGCCTGGAGCAGGGCGGTGTTGGCGCTGTAGCCGGTGGGCGTGAAGAGCGCCCGCTCCACGCCCTTGCGCCCCGCGATCTTCGCCTCGATCTCGCGGACGAAGCCCGTGCGCTCCGCGATGAGTCGGGACGACCCGGCCCCGAGGCCGAAGCGATCGACCGCGTCGTGCGCCGCCTTCGCGAGGCGGGGGTGTGTGCAGAGGCGGAGGCAGTCGTTGGATCGCAGGTCGATGGCGCCGTCGGCGGGCGGGCTGATCGGCGGCAGCGCGCGGCGGAGTCCCTCGCGGTCGCGCTCGTCGAGGCGATCGCGCAGGCGGTCGAGCCAGGCGGTGGGTTGGGTGTGCGGTTCGGCGCTCACGCCGGGCAGCTTAGTCGTCGTTCGCGTCCATCTCGAACTCGATCTCGTCCTCGAGGGACTGCTGCATGAGGCGGCCGACCTTGAACTTCACGACCTTCTTGGCGGGCACGTGGACGCGCTCGAGGGTCTTGGGGTTCTGCGCCATGCGGGCCTTGCGCTCGCGGATCTCGAAGACGCCGAAGTCGCGGAACTCGAGGCGGTTGCCCTTGCCGAGCTCGAGGATGACCTGGTCGAGGAAGCTCTGGACGGTCTTCTTGACGGCGACGCGTCGCTGGCCGGTCTGGTCGGCGATGCGATCGATGAGATCCTTCTTGGTGATCGTGGCCATGGCTTCTGGTGGCTCCATCTGACGGGTGGGGCGGCGCGGGAATTTCCCCACGATCGAAGTATGGCAGAGGGCTAACCTCCCGTCAACGCTCGACTTGCAAACGAACGGGAAAAAAGCCGGTTGACGTCGGAAGGGGGTCCGGGGCGAGAAAAACGGGCTTCCCGGGGCGGAAACGCCCCTCGGACCTACTGGCGCCAGCGGTGGAATCGGATCGGATCCTCGCGCGGGGGCAAGGGCTCGGGCCACTGGGCCTGGGCCTTGAAGGGCGCCGCGTATCGGGCGCTGAGCGCGCCGTTGCGCCGGTGGATCTCGGAACCCGCGTTGGGGGTGGCGTAGAGGCTCGCCGTCGGCGCGTAGCCGTAGATGCCCGGGGCGGGCAGCGCGGCGACGGGCTCGTTGCCCATGTACTGGCGGGCGGCGTACCACTCAGGATTACTCGAACCGGCGCAGCCGGCGAGCGCGAGGCCCAGCGCGGCCAGCGCGAGGGCGGTCCGGGGGGCGTTATGGACGGTCTTGGGGTGTGTCTCTCTCATCTCGGTGAACCTCGAACAACCGGCGTGCCGGTGAAGGCGAACGGCCGTCCGTGGCTCTGAGGGATGGTAGGGCGCGCGGCTGTGTTGATTCCGCGGGACGCGTGTGGTGCGCCGTCAACACCGGATGCGCCGGGCGGGGGGTTCTCGGACGTTCGGATCGGCGCGCAAAAAAAAGGGCACGCCGTCTCGGGCGTGCCCTGGTGGGTGCTCGGTTGTTCGCTCGCGGTGTGATCAGCGGGCGCGGACGGAGCCGGAGAAGTTCACGCGGATGGGCGGCTCGCCCTCGATGTTCGAACCGACGGCGATCGTGCCGCGGAACGCGCCGCGGTGGTTGCCGGCGTTGCCCTTGATGGTGAGGACGTAGCCCTTCTCGCCCTTGTCCTCGAAGGGAGCGATGACGGCCTCGACGCCCGGGATGGAGGAGCGGAGGATGGTGACGTCGTCCTGGGTCATGACGAAGGACTTGTCGCCGCGGTGCGTGATGCGGGTCTCGTAGGAGAAGTCCTCCTTCGGACGGAGCGGGAGCATGCGGATGGCGGTGGGGGAGGACTTGAGGTTGCCGACGATGCGGCCCAGGACCTGGATGGTCTGGTGCTGCTCGGACTGCTCGGTGACGCCGTCGGCGTTCTGGTAGTCGGCGAGGGCGTCGATATCGAGGGTCGCGGCGACGCGCCCGATGGGCAGGTCGCCGGGAACGGTGATTTTGATCTGGCGCTTGCCCGGGAAGTCCTTCTTGACCTCGGCGGGGATCTCCTTCATGAGCTCGGCGGTGAGGCCGACGTTGCCGTTGATCCTGACGTCCTTGATCTCGAAGTCGGGGTCCTTGGAGAAGACGGTGACGAAGAGCTCCTGCTCGTCGCCGATGAGTGCCTCGCCGAACTGGACCACGCGGGGGTTGATGTCCATGATCTGGACGACCTCGGCGATGACGGCGAGGGTGATGGTGGGCTTGAGCCGGGAGTTGGTGGCGACCGTGACGTTCTTGGTCTGGCGCTTGGCGCCCTTGGGCTTGAAGGTCACGTCGATGTACGAGCCCTCGCCCGGGGCGTATTCCTTCTTGTCGACGACGGCGGCGGTGCAGCCGCAGCTCGTGCGGGTCGACTCGATGTAGATGGGCTCGTTGCCGGTGTTGGTGAAGGGGAACTTCACGGTGAGCTCGGTGCCGTCGGGGTTGAGGCCGAAGTCGTGGCTCGTGAACTCGAAGGTGAGCACGCCGTCGGACTTCTCACGCGGCTCCTGCCCGGGGACGTCCTGCTTGGGGGCGATGGAGGTCGTGGGGGGCGCCGGCTTGACGCCGTTGGTGGACAGCGCGCCGTTGTCCTTCTCGTTGGACTTGGCTTTGCCGTCCTGCTGCGCGTTGGCGAAGGAGGCGGCGCCGGCGACGAGGCCGGCGGCGAAAACGGCGGTGGCGGTGATCGAAGCCAGTGTTCTGCGTTTCATGGTCTGGTCTCTCCTGAGCGAGAAGCCCTGAGCGTGGAGCGGCGGCCGGCGAAGCGGGTGCCGCGGGGTCGTTACGGGACGTGGTCCCTGCATCGGATGTGTCGTCATGCCCGGGGCCGGACATCAGCCCCAACGCGAGAAAAAAAGGCGTGGCGTGGGATTGTACCCACGCCACGCCGGGGTGTTGCAGATGAGCCCGATCGAGAATGATCGGACCGGCGGGGCCGGTTACGGGCAGGGCCCGAAGAGGAAGAGGGCGGCGACGAGGTCGTTGAAATCGACGGTGCCGCTCTCGTCGGCGTCGCAGGGATCGTCCGCGCCGGCGGCGGGGCCGAAGGCGAAGAGCATGGAGACGAGGTCGTTGAAGTCGACCTCGTTGTTGTCGTCGCAGTCACCGAGGCAGACGTCGGCCATCATGCCGGGAGTCTGGAAGGTGAGCGCGCCCTGGCCGGCGACGGTGGAGCCGCCGGGGTTGGTGGCGGTGACGGTCCAGAAGTAGACGGTGCCGCCGGAGAGCGCGCCCGCGGGGACGGGGAACTCGAAGGCCGGGGGCGCGCCGCCCGCGTTGAAGTTGAAGGGGCCGCTGTCGACGAGCACGGGGCTGGAGAAGTCCTGGTTGTCGTCGATCATGACCTCGTAGCCGGTCGCGTCGGCGGACTCGGACCAGGTGAGCACGGGCTCGAGATCCGGCAGGACCGGGGGCGTGTCGCCGACGAGCGCGCCGGGGCCGAACATGAAGAACGGGTCCGGCAGGTCGAACATGGTGAAGAACGAGGCGGGGTCGGGGTTGCCGGCGGTGGCGCCGTTGATGTTCACGGCGTCGACGCGCCAGAAGTACTCGGTGCCGAGCTCGAGCGTGCCGCCGGAGGCGGAGAAGTTGGGGAAGGGGGTCTGCGCGCCGTCGATGATCGGGCTCGAGAAGTCCGAGTCGTCGTCGATCGAGATCTCGTAGAACGTGGCGTTCTCGGAGGTCTCCCAGATGAACGTCGGGCCGGTGCCCAGGCCCATCGCGCCGTCGGCGGGCGAGGTGAGGTTGAAGTCCCCGGGGACCGCGGCGACGGAGTCGACGCTCACGTCGTCGACGAACCAGTCGTCGAACCCGGCGTTCGCGGAGGGGTTGCGGAAGCGGATGCGGAGGTCGGCGTGCTCGGCCGAGTTGGGCAGCTGCACGGAGGAGGACTCGAAGACGGTCATGTCCGGGCCGGAGCCGAGCTGTCGGTCGACCTCGATCCACTGGTTGTTCTCGTCGAAGAACTCGACGATGAGGTCGTCGCCGGTCTCGGTGGAGTTGCCGTTGCCGGTGCGCTGGTAGAAGTAGCTGATGACGAGGTTGTCCTGGAAGGTGGCGTTCATGCGCCCGGAGCGGAGCTCGGAGCCGCCGGTGACGTTGAGCGAGAGGGCGCCGCTCGGCTCGTTGATGCCGAGGGTGTTGATGGCGACGCCGCCGTCGATGCCGGTCCAGTGAGCGGGGTTGATGGTGGTGGAGGGGAAGTCGTCGAAGAACGGCAGCGGGGCGCCGCCGGCCTCGAAGGCCTCGAGGCAGCCGCGGGAGTTGCGGTGCGCGGTGATGGAGTTGATGGACTGGTTGGTGAACTGGTTCGCGCAGGTGAGCGAGGGGTTCATCGTGAAGCCGGGGCAGGAGCAGTGCAGCGAGTTCCAGTTGTGGCCCAGCTCGTGCGCGGAGAGGTCGGTGCGGCAACCGAATCCGCCGACGTTCTGGACGATGTTGTAGGCGGAGTTGGTGATGCAGATGACGCCGACCGGGGCGAGGCCGATGGTCGAGCCTTGCCACTCTTTGCCGGAGAACATCTCGGCGACGTCGCGCGGGACGCCGCCCATCGTGGAGTTCCAGTGGAAGGTGAACTCGTTGAGGATGGTGCCGGGGTCGGTGGAGTTGTAGGGGTCGGAGTTGGTCGGGCCGGAGCGGGTGACGATGGTCGTGATCTGGTGGGTGATGCCGACCTGCGTCTCGTACTGGTTGTTCATCGTGTTGATGATGTTCTCGATCTGCTGCGCGCCGTTGCCGCCGAAATCGTTGTTCCACTCGACGTCCATGTCGCAGGCGAGCTCGGCGATGCAGAGCCCGCCGCAGTCGCCCGAGCCGAGCTCGACGCCGCGGGGCGCCTCGGCCGGGGGCATGAGGTCGGGGTCGATCATGTCGATGCCGCCGCAGGTGCCGTTGAAGTTGAGCACGTCGGCCTGGTCGTACATGACGTGGTGGCGGCGGGTGACGCCGTCGATCATCTCGACGAGCGGCTCGGTGACGAGCCGGACACCCTCCGCGGGGATCTCGATGACGCCCTGGAAGCCCTTCTCATCAACGGACCCCGAGACGGACGAGCCGGGGATGCCGACGATCTCGCCCCGGACGGTGCGCGGGGCGTAGGGCTCGAGCTCGATGTACGAGCCGTCGGCGAGCTGGGTGAGCAGCTTGAAGCCGGGGGCGCGGACGGAGTAGGGCTCGACGCGGATCGTCGCGACCTCGCCGAAGAACGGGATCTGCGTCTCGAACGGCTGGGCCTCGGCGGGGACGTCGAACAGCGCGACGGTGCCGCTCGCGACGCCCATCGCCTCGAACGCGCGGGCGGAGACGTCGGGGTCCTGCTCGATCAGGCGGTCGAGGCCGATCGCGTCGATCTGGCCGACCTGCGCGGAGGCGGCGGTCGAGAGCGCAGCGATGCTCATCGCGGCGGCGGCGAGCGCGGTGGTGAATCGTTTCATGGTTGTCGTTCCTCAGCTCTCCGAAAAAGGGTTGGACACGCACGCGAGGCCGCTCGAGCTGACGTGATTCCACGAGGATCACGCCGGATCGGGTGGCCATCCGTACATCGAACGCGTGGCCTGCGGAAGCCAGCGCCGGTTCTCGCGTTCCTCTAGTCTGGATTCACGCGGGTGGGTTGGCAACAAAAACACCGTTGTTTTCGGAAAACGCTGGGTTTATCGGCTTTTCCCGCGATCGTCGGACGGTCGATATTCAGTTGGTATGCGATACAAACAGGGGGCCCGAGGAACAGATCTGCGGACGGTTCTCGGACGTTCGCAGCGACCTATTCGTCGTGGCCCCGCCCCTTGTTCCGCGAACGCTCGGCTTTGCGCTGCCCTCGTCTGGTCTTCTCGTCGAGCCGGCGACGGATGCTCCCCTTCGTGGGCTTGGTCCGGACCCGCCTGGCCGGGCGGGTGAGGGCCTTGGCGACGAGCTCTGCGAGCCGGGCGACCGTCAGCTCGCGGTTGCGGCGCTGGCTCCGGGTGTCCTCGGCCGTGATCTGGAGGATCCCCTCGTCCGTCAGGCGGCTCCCGGCGAGGCGTTTGAGGCGGGCGCGGGCGTCGGGCTTGAGTGGGATGTCGTCGATCGAGACGCGGAGCTCGACCTTCGTCTCCCGCTTGTTCACGTTCTGCCCGCCCGGCCCGGAGGAGCGGGAGGTGACGAACGTGAGCTTGCCCTCGTCGATGCGCACCCCGGGCGCGAGCCGGATGGAGCCGGGCGGGGGGGTGTCCGCGGGGGGTGTTGGTGTGGGCTCGGGCATGGCGGTCGTTCTTCACAATACGCCCCGGAGCCCGACCGGAACGGGGCGGGGATGGTAAGACTGTGCCCATGATGCATCGACTCAATCCGCTCCTGATCTCGCTCGCGCTCGCCGGCCCGGCGCTCGCGCAGAGTCCCGAGCCGTCCGAATCGGCAGAACCGCTGGATCTCGCCCCCGAGGCCCCCTGGACCGTGAGCGTCGAGCCGCGGGTCTGGGCGCCGGCGCTGCTCGGGGACGTCGGCGTGGGCGGGGCGGCGACGTTCGACGTGGAGCACATCGACCTGGACGAGCCCGAGGCCTCCCCCGCGGGGCGGTTCGTCATCCGCTCGGAGAAGCTCACCATCACGTTCTCCGGCTACTCGTTCGGCGTCGACCAATCCGCCACGGCCGACCGGGCGGTGGCGATCGGCGGCTCCGCCGTCGCGGCCGGGGGCGCGGTGGACTACGACCTCTCGCAGACCGGCTTCGAGCTGACGGTCGGCTACCGCGTGTGGCACGCGCCGATCGGGAAGCACGACCCGGACGGCCCGTCGGGCGACGTGAGCATCGGGCTCGACGTCTACGGCGGCGTGCGCGGGTTCGATATCGACCTGGATTTCGACACCCCCGCCGGCGAGGGGGACGACCTGGAAGATTTCCACGCGATCGCCGGCCTCGCGTTGCGGATGGATCTGCCCGAGGGCTTCGGGCTCGAGGTCTCGGTCGACGGCGGCGGGGGCTCGAGCGGGGCGTCGTTCGATCTGGAGGCGGTGTTCGAGTACGCGTTCACCGAGCACGTCGCGGCCCAGATCGGCTACCGCTTCCTGCTGATGGACCTGGACGACGGCGGTTTTACGTACGAGACGGGGCTCGCCGGGCTCTTCGGTTCGGTCGCGATCCGGTTCTAGGATTTCGGCATGCTGCGCATCATCGGCGGGATCAACAAGCGGAAACAGATCGGGACGCCCCCGGGCACGGACGTGACGCGCCCGCTCCCGGACCGGGTGCGCGAGGCGATCTTCAACCTCCTGCGCGGGCACTTCGAGGGCGAGACGGTGCTCGACGTCTTCGCGGGCTCGGGCTCGTTCGGGCTCGAGGCGCACTCGCGCGGCGCGTCGCGGGTGGTGATGATCGAGCAGGACCGCAAAGTCGCGAAGCTCCTGCGTGAGAACGTGGAGCTGCTCGACGCGGGTGAGGCGTGCGAAGTGCTGGAGGCGGACGCGCTGGGCCCGCTCGCACTGGGCCGCGCGCCGAAACCGGTGCATATCGTCTTCTTCGACCCGCCCTACCCGCTGATCAACGACCCGAAGCGGCGCGACCTGGTGTGGCGTCAGTTCTCCCGGGCGATCGACCTGCTCGACGAGACGGGCTACGCGATGATGCGCACGCCCTGGCCGTACTGCGATTACGTGCCGAGGGTGAAAGACCCGGAGTACAACGACCGCGTGGACATCCCGCTCGAAATCGAGAACGCGGAAGGCCCAGAAACGCACGCGTACGGGACGACGGCGGTGCATTTATATATGCGCAAGACGTGAGTTCCGATTCGGAGGCGTCTGATGCGGTCCACACTGGCGTTTATCCCGGGTGGCGATGCGATCGTGTATCTGCTTGTCGCGTGGCTCTTCACCCTGGTGTTCCTGGTCGGCGGGAGCGCGTGGATCGTCGGCCGGACAATCGAACACATCCAAGAGCTTGTTTATAAACAGACGGAGGGGCGTGCGGCCAAATTTCAGCAGTTTGGCGTGCCGGTCATCATTTTGCTCGCGATTGATGGCGCGAGCCTGGCGTCCGTGATACCGGACGACGCCGAGTTTTTTCTGCTGGTCTCGATCGGTCTTTTTCCGATCGCGAGCTTCGTTATCCCGTTTGTTGCCACACGGGAGTTCTTCGCGTGCGGAGAGCGTCGTGCTCGGGTGATCTTCTGGTGCTCGCTTCTCGCTCACTCGCTCGTCGGAGCGCTCGTACTGACGGTACTTGGAGCAGGATGAGCCGCCGCACCCGTCCGGGTCTCCGCAGGCGCTTCGTCGCGCAGCTGGATCCCTTCTTTCCCCCCCATCTTCAGCTTCACGATCACGACGTACACCGCGACCAGGATCGCGACCCACAGCACGAGCATCGCGAGGGCGACGAGCTTGCCGTTCTTTTTGCGGGGTCGGGGTCCGGGGGCCATCCGCAAAGAATAGGCCGGTTTGGGTAGAGTGCGCTGCGATGTCGGGTGACGGACGAAAAGCCAGGGACGCGGCCGTGTCGGTGGTGAAGAGCCTCCGCGAGGCGGGGCGCGAGGCGTACCTCGCGGGCGGGTGCGTGCGGGACGAGCTGCTCGGGCTGGCGCCGAAGGACTACGACGTCGCGACGGACGCGCCTCCCGACGAGGTCGTGCGGCTCTTCGACCGCACGCGGGAGGTGGGCAAGGCGTTCGGCGTGGTGCACGTGAACATCGGTCGCACCGTGACGGAGGTCGCCACGTTCCGCACCGAGGGGGCGTACTCGGACAAGCGCCGGCCCGACGAGGTGCGGTTCTCAACGGCGGCGGAGGACGCTCAGCGCCGGGATTTCACGGTCAACGCCCTGTTCATCGACCCGCTGGACGAGTCCGATCGCCCCGGCGGGCGGGTGATCGACTTCGTCGGCGGCGTCGCGGACCTGGGGGCGAAGATCATCCGGGCGGTCGGGGACGCGGACGAGCGCCTCGCGGAGGACGATTTGCGGTCGCTCCGGGCGGTTCGGTTCGCCGCGCGGCTGGGGTTCGAGATCGAGGCGGGCACGAAAGCGGCGATCCGGGCGCACGCGGGTGAGCTGATCGGCATCTCGCGGGAGCGCATCGGGGAGGAACTGCGGGCGATGCTGCGCCACCCGAGCCGGGCGGTGGCGGTGGGGCTCATCCAGGAGCTGGGGCTCGACGCGCCGGTGCTGCTGCTGCCGCGGGTGGAGATGGGCGAGGGCCTGTTCCTCCGCGGGTGCGACGCGGGGGCGGGGGCGATGGACGGGCTGGCGTCGTGGTGCGCGGACCGGACGCTGGCGCTGGAGGGCGGGGAGGTGGCGGGCGTGCCCGAGCGTCTGCGGGCGCACGCGGAAGAGACGGTGCGGACGCTGCGCCGGGCGCTGGTGCTGAGCAACGACGAGACGGAGGCGCTGGGGGGTGTCCTTCGCGGGCTGGCGGTGCTGCGGGGCGAGTGGGGGTCGATGCGTGTGGCGGCTCAGAAGCGGGCGGCGGTGAGCGCGTGGTTCAGCGGGGCGCTGGGGCTGGTGACGAGCCTGAGCGCAGGCGAGGCGGCGGCGATCCGGGCGCGGGTGGACGAGCTGGCGGGTGACGGGATCGGGCTCGCGCCGGAGCCGGTGATCACGGGTGACGACCTCGTCGAGGCGGGCTTCACGCCGGGGCCGTCGTTCCGGGGGTGGCTCGAGGAGGCGTACACCCTGCAGCTGGAGGGCGTGGTGGCGGACCGTGAGGGGGCGATGGCGCGGGTCCGGGCCCTGGCGGAAGGGGCCTGACGTGTCCCGCGGGGGGCTGAAAATGTTGCATCACGCCCGGAGATGACCCGTATACTTGAACTGAGCGTGGGCACGGCGTTCGCACGCTGTGGCCTCGGACCGGCCCCCCCGGGCCCCCGGGGCCCGAGAAACGGCTCTTGCTGCTGGAATATCAACGGTTTGCGGGGTGTTGTTCTCCGCAGAGAAACCGGTCGACGACCAGAGAAGGACGGAACAGTATGACGATGCTCTCTCGCCTGACCCGAACGGCCCTGCTTGCGATCTCCGCGGCGGCGCTCGTGCTCGCCCCCGGCGCGATGGCGCCCGCGTCCGCGCTGGCCTCGCCCGAGGTGACGATGCCGGACCCGACGGTGGAGCGCGGGCTGGACACGGTGATCCTGCGGAACACCGGGAAGAAGGTGCAGGGCAAGATCCAGGAGGTGACGGAGGACGAGGTGAAGATGACGGTGATCGTCGCCGGCATCAGCGCGTCGCAGACGTACAAGCGCGCGGACGTGATCGCGATCACGTTCGGCGAGCCCCTGGCCGAGTCGGGCTCGATGGCGAAGCCCGGCGGGATGGAGGGCAAGAAGAAGTCCAGGGAACGTGCCGGGGACAAGGTGTTCGACGACACGACCCGGTTCTATCTGGTTGATCTGGAGGGCGAGTTCGGTCGTCACATCTCCGAGACGCCGATCCGCGACGTGTTCGAGGACGTGGACGAGACGTTCGACGACCTGGTGTGGGACGACCGGACGCGGAAGTACGTGGTGGACCCCGAGGTTCGTGACCGCCACGTCGTGGTGCTGCGGATCGACAACACGAGCGACGCGTTCGACGTGTTCCAGACGATCACGCGGGCGGAGAGCATCTACCCGATCGTGGAGCAGGAGCGCGTGGCGAAGGGCCGACGCGTGATCGTGTGGGCGGAGGACATCCGGGGCGGCGCGATCTTCCTGGCGCTGAGCTGCCCGGAGATCTACTTCATGCGGAACGCGACGATGGCGTTCGGCGAGGCGCTGGACCTGGATGACTTCGACTCGGGCGACGACATGGTCGACGAGAAGCTCATCTCGGCGCGCCTGGGCCACGCGGTCGGCGCGGTGAACGTGGGCGGATACGAGTACGCGGACATCATCACGCGGGCGCTCATCCGCGGGAAGCACTGGCTGAGCCTCCGGACCGAGGGCGGCCGCGCGTTCCTGACGGACATGGAGCCGCCGGCGGATTCCTACATCGACGAGGACAAGAAGTTCTGGGAGCACGACGGCTACACCTGGGAGGTCCTGACGGACTCTGCCGAGGGGCAGTTCGAGGACGACGAGGAGGCCCTGTTCGTCAACGACCTGCTGATCATCGATTTCGGCCTCGCGAAGACCCTCGGGATCTCTCAGGGCCTGGCGGAGTCCATCGACGAGCTGGCGCTGCGGCTGGGCGTGGAGGACAACTACGCGGTCATCGAGGAGAACGGCGGCCAGAAGGCGATGGACAAGTGGTCCGACGGGATCGAGCGGGCGCTCGACCTGGTGAGCCAGGATCAGAACCGCTTCGGCCGCGTCCGCGGCAGCCTGATCCGCGAGCTGCAGACGATCCAGGTCTCGGGCGACTGGGACAACCGACGCAAGGCGCGCGGCCGCCAGATGAGCATCTACAGGCAGATCATCTCCACGCTGACGCAGTACGAGGAGGCGCTGGACCCGAGCGGGCAGCAGCGGAGCCAGCTGCGGATGCTGATCGAGCAGGTCCGGAACGAGATCGAGAACGACCCGCGCCCGCGCCCCACCGGTCGGTGAGCCGGCGCGACGCGAGACACAGACCACACGCTTTCCCACGAGGAGCCCTGACATGATGAAGAACCTGGCACTGCTGTTCGCGCTGGCGATCGCGATGTTCGCGACGTCGCTCAGCGCGGTGGCGGACACGATCACGCTCAAGGACGGCACCGTCCACGACGGCGAGATCATCAAAGAGACCGACGACTACCTGTGGCTCAAAATCTCGGTGGGGACGATCTCGACCGAGAAGCTCATCGAGAAGCGCAACATCAAGACGATCGACCGCACCCCCGCGGCCGAGTCGGACGCGATGCCCGGCAAGGGCTCGAAGAAGTCGATGGACCAGGCCCGGTCGATCCCGGACGGCGTCGAGAAGATCGCCTTCATCACGATGGAAGAGATGGTCGGCCCGTACATGAACGCCGAGGCGTTGAGCGACACGATCGACATCCTCAAGAAGCTGCCCGAGAACGAGCAGCCGGACACCGTCGTGCTCGTGTTCAACTCCGGCGGCGGCGCGCTCTCCGAGCTCGCGCTGTTGCAGGAGGTGATCGTCGACGAGATCCGCCCGCACTACCGCACGGTGGCGTGGATCGAGTCCGCGATCTCCGCGGCGGCGATGACGGCGTGGGTCGTCCCGGAGATCTACTTCCAGTCCAAGGGCAACTTCGGCGCGTGCACCGCGTTCAGCCAGTCCTCCGGCGGCACGGAGCAGATGGACGGCCGCGGCCTCAAGCAGCTGCTCCTGCACATGGAGCAGGTCTCGCTCGAGGCGGGCTACGACCCGGCGATCATGCGCGCGATGCAGATCTCCGGCCCCGATTACCCGACGATCCTCAGCGCCGACATCGACGAGCACGGCAACGTGCAGTGGTGGATCAGCGACGACGAGAACGCCGAGCCGCAGGGCGAGTACATCGTCTCGCCGGCGGACGAGATCCTCACCTTCGACGCGAAGCAGGCGGAGTTCTTCAAGTTCTCCAAGGGCACCGCGGACACGAAGGACCAGCTCGTGGAGCTGATGGGCTGCGAGGAGTGGGTCGAGGTCGGCCACGACGCGGACAAGTTCATGGTGGAGTTCCGCGAGCGTGTGGCGTACGCGGAGAACCGCACCCGCGAGCTGCAGCTGGAGCTGAACCTGGCGATGGACAACATCAGCATCGACTGCGCCAAGTGGATCGGCCGCGCCAAGAGCATCGTGGGCGAGATCAAGGCGACGGTCCGCGGGACGTCGCTGACGTTCTACTCGCAGTACTCCGACGAGTGGTTCGAGGCGATGAACGACTTCCTGCGCGAGCAGCAGCGCGCCTGCGCCGAGGCGCGACGCGCCGGCCGCTGAACGCCGGAATCCCGAATCGAAACGCGGGCCCGCTCCGAATCGTTCGGGGCGGGCCTTTTTCGTGCGCCCGTGTATCATCGGGGTTTGGTCCCCCGCGGAAGGAGCCCGGATATGGGAACGGCGACGGAACACGGCTTTGTGCCGAGCGAGCTGGACGCGAGCGTGTGGTCGAACGTGGCGGCGCTGTTCGAGGCTCTGCTCGGGCGCGAGATCGGCGGCGCGGCCGACCTGGAGCGATGGCTCGAGGACCGGAGCGAGCTGGACGCGGCGTGCGGCGAGGCGCGCGCGAACCTGTACATCGCGATGACGTGCCACACGGACGATCCGGCCCACGCGGACGCCTGGACGGCGTACCTCGAGAACACGCTCCCGGAGCTGAAGAAGGCGAGCTTCGCGCTGGACACGCGCCAGGCGGAGCTGATGGACGCCCACCCGCTCGACGGGGAACGCTACGGCGTGCTCGTGCGGGCGACGAAGACGGACGTGAAGCTCTACCGCGAGGAGAACGTGCCGATCGAGAGCGAGCTGGCGAAGCTCGACCAGAAGTACGACCAGATCATCGGCGCGATGTCGGTGGAGTTCGAGGGCGAGACGCGCACGCTCCCGCAGATGGCGAAGTTCCTGGAATCGACCGACCGCGAGCAGCGCGAGCGGGCGTGGCGGGCCACGAGCGAGCGCCGGCTCCGTGACTCGGACGCCATCGAGACCATCTACGAGGAGATGATCGCCAAGCGCGACACGCTCGCGAAGAACGCGGGGTTCGAGAACTACCGCGATTACGCCTTCGAGTCGATGCACCGCTTCGACTACACCCCCGCGATGTGCGAGGGCTTCCACGACGCGGTCGAGCAGCACGTCGTGCCGTTCGTGAAGAAGATCGAGGCGCGGCGCAAGACCAAGATGGGCATCGAGAAGCTCCGCCCGTGGGACACCGCGGTGGACGAGCAGGGGCGGGCGCCGCTCCAACCGTTCCGGAGCGGGCAGGAGCTGATCAACAAGACGCGCGCCGTCTTCGGCAAGCTCGACGGGCGGCTCTCGCTCCTGTTCCGCGACCTGGGCGACGACATGGGCGACTGCTTCGACCTCGAGTCCCGCAAGGGCAAGGCCTCCGGCGGGTACCAGTACATGCGCGACTTCTCGCGCGAGCCGTTCATCTTCATGAACGCGGCCGGCCTGCACCGTGACGTGGAGACGATGGTGCACGAGGCGGGGCACGCGTTCCACTCGATGCTCTGCCGCGAAGAGCCGCTCGTGGACTACCGCCACGCGCCGATCGAGTTCGCGGAGGTGGCGTCGATGAGCATGGAGCTGCTCACGATGCCGCACTGGGACGCGTTCTACCCGAGCAAGGACGACCTGTACCGCGCCCAGCGGAAGCAGCTGGAGGGGACGCTCGCGCTGCTGCCCTGGATCGCGACGATCGACGCGTTCCAGCACTGGCTCTACACGCACCCCGAGCACTCGCGCGGGGCGCGCCGCGAGTGCTGGCTCGCGCTGAACGGCCGATTCGGGACGGACCTGGACTGGACCGGCGTCGAGGAAGCGCTGGAAAAACAGTGGCAGCGCCAGGGCCACCTCTTCGGCAACCCGTTCTATTACATCGAGTACGGCATCGCGCAGCTCGGCTCGCTCGGGGTGTGGGAGCGGTCGCTCGACGAGGGCGTCGAGATCGCGCTGGACCTCTACCGCGAGGCGCTGGCGCTCGGCGGGGCCCGCCCGCTGCCTGAGCTCTTCGGCGCGGCCGGCGTTCCGTTCGAATTCGGCGCGGAGCGCATCGCGACGCTCGTGGAGCTCGTCGAACGCGAGCTGGAGAAGCTCCCGGAATGAAACCGCTCGAGACGGGGTGCTACGCGGTGATCTTCACCTCCCTCCGCGCGTCGGGGAACGAGGAGGAGTACGCGCGGGTGTCCAAGGAAATGGACGACCTGGCCGCGACGATGCCGGGGTATCTGGGCGTCGAGACCGTGCGCGGGGCGGACGGCGTGGGCATCAACGTCTCGTACTGGGCGACGATGGCGGACGTGGTCCATTGGAAAAAGATCGCGGAGCACGACGCGGCCCAGAAGCGCGGCAAGGAGGCGTACTACGAGTGGTACCGCGTGCGCGTGGCGAAGGTGGAGCGGGCGTACGCGTTCACGAGGGGCGAGGCGTGAGCGGGGCGACGCACATGACGCCGGACGAGTTCCGGAGGCACGGCGCGGAGCTGATCGAGTTCATCGCGCGGTACTACGAGACTCTTTCCGCGGGGGGCGGTGAGCGCCGCGTGCTCTCGGAGGCGGAGCCGGGGGACGTGTTCAACGCGGTCCCCCCGGAAGCGCCGGAAGTCGGCGAGGACTTCGCGCACGTGATCTCGGAGATCGACCGCGTCGTGATGCCGGGGATCACCCACTGGCAGTCGCCCGGGTTCTTCGGCTACTTCCCGGCCAGCGCGACGTTCCCGGCGATCCTGGGCGAGCTGCTCAGCGCCGGGCTGGGGGTGCAGGGGATGCTCTGGCAGACCTCGCCCGCGTGCACCGAGCTCGAGACGCGGATGCTGGACTGGATGGGGCGGGCGATCGGGCTGCCGGAGGCGTTCCTGTCCGAGGGTGACGGCGGGGGTGTGATCCAGGGCACGGCGAGCGAGGCGGCGCTGGTGGCGATGGTCGCCGCTCGACAGCGGGCGCTGGACGATCGGGGTGTTGAAGAGACCGATCGGGCGGCGCTCAACGGCAGGCTCGTCGCGTACGCGAGCGAGCAGGCGCACAGCTCGATCGTGAAGGCGGCGATGGTGTGCGGGATCGGGCGCTCGAACGTGCGGCTCGTCGGGACGGACGGGAACCTCGCGATGGACGCCGAGCGGCTCCGGGCGCAGGTCGAGGAGGACGCCCGGGCCGGGCTGATCCCGTTCTTTGTGTGCGCGACGCTGGGGACGACATCGACGGGCGCGATCGATCCGCTGGCCGAGATCGTCCGTATCGTCCGGCCTACTCCTTCCGGGGGCGGGGGGTGGGTGCACGTGGACGGGGCGTACGCCGGTGCCGCGCTGGTGTGCCCGGAGCACCGGGGGATGATCGAGGGGGTGGAACTCGCGGACTCGTTCAACTTCAACCCGCACAAGTGGCTGCTCGTGAACTTCGACTGCTCGTGCCTGTGGGTGCGGGACCGCGCGGCGCTGGTGAACGCGCTGTCGATCACGCCCGAGTACCTGCGCAACACGCAGAGCGACGCGAAGGCGGTGATCGACTACCGCGACTGGCAGGTCCCCCTCGGGCGCCGGTTCCGGGCGATGAAGCTGTGGTTCGTGATGCGTCACTACGGGCTCGAGGGCCTGCGGGCGCACATCCGCGAGCACGTTCGCCTGGCGGAACTCTTCGAATCCTGGGTGCGGGCGGACGATCGGTTTGAGATGGTCGCCCCTCGGTCGCTCTCGCTGGTGTGCTTCCGCCTGAAGGCGGGCGACGGGGCGACGCGGTCGCTCCTCGAGAAGGTCAACGCGACGGGCGAGGTGTTCGTGACGCACACGGTGATCCCGTTCGCGGGGGGCGGGGGGGAGCCGGTGTACGCCATCCGGTTCGCCGTCGGCGCGGTCACGGTGACGGAGGCGGACGTCGCGCGGGCGTGGGAGATCATCACGGCGCACGCGACCTAGAATCGCCCGTGACGAACTCCGCCAAAGACACCCTCTACTACGACGGCAAGTGCGGCATGTGCCGGCGTTCGTCGCGCATCCTGCGCCGGCTGGACTGGTTCGGCCGGCTCGCGTTCCAGGACTCGACCGTGCTGCCGGAGGAGGAGCTCCCGGTGTCGCGCGAGACCTCGATGGAGGGGATGCCGATGAGGACGAAGGAGGGCGGCGTGCTCGTCGGCTTCCCGGCCGTGCGCCGGGCGCTGCGCCGGACGCCGCTCGGGTTCATCCCCGCGGTGCTGCTGTACGTGCCCGGCGTGTCGTGGTGCGGGGCGCGCGTGTACGCGTTCATCGCGGCGCGGCGTGGGCGGGATGTGTGCGCGGTGGAGCTGTAGCAACCGCGACAGTCATGGAGCGGACACGCTGAATCGTCCGTCGTTCAAATTCAAGACCGATGAATCACGGCGATGCCCGGCGTCCGGCGCAAGCGTTGCCGTTCACGTCCGCGCTGCAGCGGGCACGTCACGAACGTCGGTGAGATGCAGCGGATCCGCTCCATAACTGTCGCGGTTGCTACTCGTCGTCGTCCTCGTCGACGAGGTCCTGGTGCTCGCGGATCCAGTTCGCCTGGATCGCCTCGAGGATGCGCTCGTTGCAGGGGTGGCCCGACTGCTCCTCGAAGCCGTCGAGCTCCTCGACGAGGCGCTTGAGGTTGGGGAAGCTGATGGACGTCGGGTCCTCGTCCGGGTGGGTGTCCGCGAGTTCCTCGGCGATGCGGTCGACGTCGAGCCAGTGGTAGGTGTCGGTCATGCGGTCAGTTTAGACCGCCGGCGCGTCTTCCCGGAGCGCCTTCATCGCCGCGGCGGCTTTCTTGGGGGAGATCTGCCCGCTGGCGAGGCGGTCGCGGACCTTCTCCTCGGCGTCGCTCCACGTCGGGCCGGCGATGAGGCGGGCGTCCTCGGGGGTGATCGAGCCCTCGGCGACGTAGGCCGCGAGCTCGCGACGCGTCTGCTCGCGCTCGCGGATCCCGACCGTGTTTTTCCAGATGGTCAGCCCGCGCCAGCAGAGCGTGAAGGCGAGGGCGATCGCGACCAGGAAGATCGCGGCGGTGGCGGAAGTTTCGTTGCTCAGGATTTCCTGGCTGTCGGCGAGGAGGAGGGCGTGGCTCATCGGCGGTTCTCCGTGGTGCGGGCGCAGGGATTCTACGCCGCACCTGATTCGGGAACCCGGCCCGCCGATTTCAGCCGGCGGTCCTCAGTGGGGGACTTCCTTGACCGCGTTGCGGTTCCACGCCGGGACGCGGAGGACGATCGGGCCCTCGCCCTCGATCGTGCACTGGCAGCTCAGGCGGGAGTTCATCTGGAGGCCGGGGGCCTCCTCCACGCGGTCCTCCTCGGCCTCGGAGGCCTCGGAGAGGTGCTCCATGCCCTGCTCGATGTAGACGTGGCAGGTGGAGCAGGCGCAGACGGCGCCGCAGGAGTGCTCGATGTTGATCCCGTGCTCGACGGCGACCTCGAGGAGGTGCTCGCCCTTGGCGGCCATGAGCTCGTGCTCGGCCTTGTCCGATCCGGTGAGGCCCTCGGGGTCCTCGAGGATGAACTTGACGGGGACGGTGGCGGGGCCGTGGTCGTGGTCGGAGTGGCGGAGGTGCATGGGTACGGATCTTTCGTCGAAATCTGGGGGGTTGGGAGGGGCATGGTACGCACGGCGGGGGGCGGAGCCAAGCGTTTCGGAGCAGCGGTCGCCTGTTGCCGGTCCCGGATCGGTGATGCGGGGGCGGAATCCGGAGAGTTGGCTCCGGATCGGTGATTCCGCCTCAGCCGCGCGGACGGATCGACCGATACAACCCGTATGAAGATCACCATGGACGATCGTGTGCTCGAGACCGACGCCAGCACCCTGGGCGACGCCCTCGTGGCCGTGCAGGAGGCGAGCGCCGGGCGGATGATCGTCGGGGCGGAGGCGGACGGTGCGGCGGTGCCCATGGAGCACCTGCTCAACCCGCCGGAGGCCTCGCCGTACGCGGAGGCGATCGCCTTCCGGACGGTGGAACCCTCGGCGCTGGTGCACGAGACGCTGTTCAGCGCGGTGGACATCATCCGCGGGATCCAGCCCCGCCAGAAAGAGGTCTCGGACATGCTCCTCGCGGGCGAGGTCGAGCCGGCGAAGGAGCAGCTCATGACGCTGCTCAGCGGGTGGCTCGACGTGAACAAGACGGTGCAGCTGTGCACGAGCAGCGGGCACGTGAGCCGCGAGGCGATCGACGCGCTGGACCCGCCCCTGGAGGAATCCGTGGTGCGGCTGGCGAGCGACCTGCAGGAGCTGCGGGATGCGCTGGGGGCGAACGATTTCACGGCCGTGAGCGACCTGCTCGCGTACGAGATGATGGACCAGGCGGAGCGGTGGAGCGGGCTGCTCACGTCGCTCGCGGATTCGGTACGCTGAGCGTTCCCCTCGAGGAGGGGCGTGACACAGGCACCGGAGCAGGATCGATCCGTGACAGGCAAAGGCAGCGCCAAGCTCAAAAAGCTCGAAGAACTGGAGGCCACAGCGCGCGAGGCGCTGGCGGCTTCGGACTGGTTCGGCGCGGACGCCTCGGCGTTCGAGGGCGTCTCGCTCGCGTACGCGATGGACGAGTACGGCCGCATGCCCGCGCTGCTCGAGGTCCTCAAGGAGGCCCGGGGCCGCCGGTTCCGCCAGGCGGTCGAGACGAACACGATCGTGGTGGTGGACGAGGCGCAGACGCGCGACGAGATCCTGGAGATCACCGACGGCGACTGCCTCACGCCGGGGTGCTACCTGGTCCAGCCGCCGCTCGTCGGCGCGGACGGGCGCAACATGCGCGACCACTACTTCGCGCTGGGCGTGCCGAGCCTGTTCATCGTCCGCGAGCCCGAGACGCGCGCCGGCCAGTGGCCCATCGTCATGATCGGGCCCATCACCGTCCGCACACGCATCGACCCGCCCGAGGGCGGCGAGGTCTCGATCGAGTGGATCGAGAACGCGGCCTACGAGCTGGGCGACGCGGCGATCGAGACGATCGACCCCGAGGCCGACGCCTCCGTGCGCGTGGACCAGCTCCTCGACCGGCTCGGCACCGTCGTGCTGCACGACGCGCTCATCGACCTGCTCGCCGAGACGTGCGTCGAGGCGCAGCGCGAGGCGGACGAGGCGGCGGCGGAGAAGGCGCGCAAGAAGAAAGCCGCGGAGGCGTGATCGCGCCCGCGGCTCCGTTCCGTGTCCTTTGAAATCGTGATTCAGCGGCAGCGGGGCGTGTAGCGGTAGCTGCGCCGGTACTCATAGCTGGGGCCGTAGTACTCGTAGGTGCGGTAGACGGTGCGGCGCTCGGTGGTGGTGTAGCCGTAGTCGTAGGCGGGCGCGGGGTCCGTGCTGTACATGCTGTTGTTGGAGGAGACGCGGCTCGTGTTGGCGCGGTCCTGTCGCTCGTTCTGGTCGCCGATGACGGCGCCGCCGACGCCGCCGACGGCCGCGCCGATGGCGGCGCCCTCGCCCGGGGCCCCGACGGTGGAGCCGATGATGAGTCCGGCGACCGCGCCGAGGCCGGCGCCGGAGAGCAGGCCCTCGCCCGCGTTGGAGCACCCGCCGGCCGCCGTCAGGGCGGCGGCGAGGGTGAGGGTCAGGGCGAGGGAACGGGTGGATCGGACGGTCATGGTCGGGCTCCTTGCGACGGCTCGTCACGGGCTGGTGCGGCTCCCCCGGAAATGGAAGGGGGCACACCGGCTTCTTGTCTATACTGATCGAACGATTTCAGGATGCGAGGAGTTCGTCGATGGTGGCGTTCAGACGCATATTCGGGTTCTCACGCCGCCTCGAGACGGCGGGCGAGCGGGCGAGGCGGGTCCACGCCGAGTGGCTCACGCGGGCGATCGTCAGCGGGGGCGTCCGGGCCCCGCGGATCCCGGTGCGGAAGGTCTCCGAGGGGGGCTACGAGCACGTGCGGACGAGCAACGAAGGGCGTGCGTGGGCGGATTCGTGGTGGAGCGGGGCCTTCAAATCGACCGATTGAAGGGGCGGACCGGGCACAGGAAGAGTCGTTCGCCCGCTCGAGGGCACGCATCGGAGATTTCATGACGGATCACGAGCAAGCGGATCAGGGCGCGTCGGCCGAGACCCAGGGCGGGTGGCTCCGCACGACGATCAATCCCCGTTGGACGATCAAGTTCGCGATCTTCTTCGTGATCGCCTTCGGCATCGGCCTCTGGGGCGCGTTCGACGCCTTCGTCGCCTACCCGGCACGGGGCGAGTTCGACGCGGAGTGGAAGCTGCGGCTCTACCTGGAGCAGGCCGAGGCGTCGAGCCGGATGTTCGAGGCGAACGTCGCCGACCCCGCGGCCGAGCTCGACCGCCTGCGCAACCGCCCGGACACGGAGATGACCCCGCTGGAGACGGTCCGCGAGGAGTGGCTCGAGGCGCTCGCGCTGGTGAGCTCGCTGGACGCGATCGCGTCCCGGAGCGCCGAGGCGCAGGCGAAGCGCCAGGCCGGCGAGCCCTTCGAGGACACCGAGACCTTCTTCGCGAACCCGCAGGGCACGCTTGCGGCGCTCTCGGCGGCGCACGCCACGGCCTCGGCGCCCAAGCCGCTCTCGCAGTTCGATATCCCGGTGCAGTACCTGATCATGGGCACGGGGATGCTCGTCTCGCTCTGGATCGTGTTCCACGTGATCAAGACGCGAAGCGTGAGCTACGCCTACGAGCCGAGCACGATGACGCTCGAGCTGCCGGACGGCCGGAAGGTCACGCCGGCGATGATCGAGGACGTCGACAAACGCCAGTGGCACAAGTTCCTCGTGACGCTCCACTTCGTGGACGACGCGAAATCCGCGAAGCTGGACCTGCTCGTCCACGTCCCGCTCGAGGAGTGGGTCCTGGAGATGGAGCCCCACACGCCGAACTACGAAGAGCCCGAGGACGAGGGCGAGGGCGACGAGGAAGACGCGGAGTACGCGGAAGCGGAAGCCGAAGAGGGCGACGCGGAGCGCGTGGGGTGAGGGCGCTGGTCTCCGGGTAACAACCGCGCCCGTCTGGGAGCGGGCCAAAGCGGTGGTGTTTCACTCCGCGGTGGTGAATCCCGAGAGAATTGAGCAGGAGTCTTTTCGGATCGGTGGGGGTGCCGATCGGGGCTTTCGTGCTACGACCCCTCTGGCCCGACTCGCTGACGCTCGCGGTTGTTACCGCTTTGTGCTCGGTATTGCTCGCTCTGAGAATCTTCGCGAGCCGGATTCCGAAGAATGGATGAGCACGGACCGGTTCGCTCTCCGCGGAGAAGGCCTCGTACGCACAGGACAGGATTCATGACCTACGCCCTCGCCATCACGCTCACCGTCCTGCTCTCGGCCGTCGGTCTCGTGATGACGCTGCTCACGCTCCCGGGGAC